GCTGTATGAATAGAGTTGACAGAGACAGGCGCTGGTCAGTATTGTATAAAGCGCTGTATGAATAGAGTTGACAGAGAGAGGCGCTGGTCAGTATTGTATATAGCGCTGTATGAATAGAGTTGACAGAGACAGGCGCTGGTCAGTATTGTATAAAGCGCTGTATGAATAGAGTTGACAGAGAGAGGCACTGGTCAGTATTGTATAGAGCGCTGTATGAATAGAGTTGACAGAGACAGGCGCTGGTCAGTATTGTATAAAGCGCTGTATGAATAGAGGTGACAGAGAGAGGCACTGGTCAGTATTGTATATAGCGCTGTGTGAATAGAGTTGACAGAGACAGCCGCTGGTCAGTATTGTATAAAGCGCTGTATGAATAGAGTTGACAGAGAGAGGCGTGGGAACTGATTCCTCTCCTCATCCGCTTGCCTGTGGACGGTTTGGATTGGACCGGAGTCTCTGAGACTGTTCCCGTAAACACAGCTCGCTTCGTCTCGAGAGAAAGGAAAGAAGAAAAGGATGTGCATCGATATTTGATCCGTGCATTCGGTCTTTAAATTCCTGCTGGTGTCTATCCTGTATGTTATTAATGTTAATCAAACTACAGAGACACAGCTTTCACAAAGATTAATTTTTATTTAATGTATACAGTGAACAGTGTTATTTTACATTTAATTATTACATTTGTGTACCTGAATTTCAGGTACAGAAATGTAATAATTAAATGTAAAATAATCAGGTCAATAATCAATAATCACCAAAATCAGGTCCTGAAATGAATACTACTGTTAGACAATATTTTATTTGGAACTTTGTATATTAATGCTTGTAATTTGTGTATTTGTTCTTATTTTTTACTGACTGTTCACTTGCCTTTAATAATGTTTGAAGTTAGGCTAGTAGTTTTCTCTGTGGTATCAGAGTGAGGATTAAGTGAGGAAAATTAATGGAAAGCAAAGTTACAAATTTTAATCGTTGTTATTTAAATAATCTTAATGATAATTCTAAAGGATCCGGTATGAATTAAAGAGAACATTTCTGGCTTGTGTTGTGATAGGGCTTTGCTACATGAGAGCAGGACACTGCTTTAAAGAGCTGTGCTACAAAACTGAAACTAAAGATTACTTTGAGAACTGAGTCAAGAAACTCTGAGACTGTACCAAAGTTCAACAATATGCTTTCGATCGACACTTTATAGAAAGCAGCTTACATTGCATTCAAGCTATAGATATTTCATCAGTTCATGCATTCCCTGGGAGTGAAACGCATGAGCTTAGGGTTTCTGTATCGCCGTGAGCAACAGGAACACAGTAAAGGTCATAGTTCACATCTGAAGTGGTCAATCTTTAGCCAGTCTTTATTACAGAGAGCAAAGGTCTGTCTCAGCTCCTTCAAGTGTGTGTTAACACACACTATCACACACGACTCAAGGGTAAGTGACTAACAATCATATCTATAACGTTTTTCTTTTCTTTCTTTCTTTTAAGAAAACAGTTTAATTCAGTTCACCTTAAGTAGTGCATAAATGTGACATAATAGAGCTGGTTCCTAATGTTTAATGTTCGGTCAGGTTCAGAAGATATTATCCATGTTTATCATTTCAAACAAGTAATCAAAAAGAATACATCGTTAAAGAATCCAAGTTCTAAAATAATTTGAACTATAATAAAAATAAAAAGCTTAAGTTTAATGCTGCTTATGAGTCATAATCACCTTTTGAGGCAAAAATGCTAAATGCTACGACAACAGTTCGAATCTAGATTAGTTCTTAACTTTAAAGGTGTAAAGAGGCTCAAATGACCCATTAAAGGCCTAATGCTAATTTAATTTCCATATATGGTGAAGAAAAAAAAGGAAAAATATTCAATTGTGTTTGATATTTCATTTGCATAATCAATTCAGTACGACACTGAAATAATTTGAAATATAAGAGAACAAACAATAACCCAACTGCAGATGATACAGTAACCCAGTCGTGTGGAGCTTTACAGCAGAAGAGAAGGAAGAATATACTAATATAGACTTAAAACTCATAAACACAGAGATTTCCAACAGGGCTTAGTGAGCGGTAGCGACACACATGAAGTTTAGAAGATGTGCAGATTCAATGAAGAAGACCTATATTAGACTACTATAATGATCACTTATAAACATGTCTCAGAGTCTGAGAATCGCATGACCACTCGTGCACTAGAACCCTTACAGCCGCCTGTGTTCGAGAGGAGGAGGAGGAGACGTATTCCTGCTGTAAAACACAACAGTGGCATTATTCACATCAACTCAGTTCAGTTCAATAACTGTATAAAGTTCAGTTCATATGAAATGGGTTGAATTCATCTACAAGATGCAGTACTGAAGACAATAATGTCATTATTCAATGCAATGAAACTGAGTGATGCATCACAGCAACCACTGGAGAACACGGGAGAACACGGGAGAACACGAGAGAACACGGGAGAACACGAGAGAACACGGGAGAACACTGGAGAACACGGGAGAACACGAGAGAACACGGGAGAACACGAGAGAACACGGGAGAACACGAGAGAACACGGGAGAACACGGGAGAACACGAGAGAACACGGGAGAACACGAGAGAACACGGGAGAACACGGGAGAACACGAGAGAACACGGGAGAACACGGGAGAACACGAGAGAACACGGGAGAACACGGGAGAACACGGGAGAACACGGGAGAACACGAGAGAACACGGGAGAACACGGGAGAACACGGGAGAACACGAGAGAACACGAGAGAACACGGGAGAACACGGGAGAACACGAGAGAACACTGGAGAACACGAGAGAACACGGGAGAACACAAGAGAACACGAGAGAACACGGGAGAACACGGGAGAACACGGGAGAACACGGGAGAACACTGGAGAACACGGGAGAACACGGGAGAACACGAGAGAACACGAGAGAACACGGGAGAACACGGGAGAACACGGGAGAACACGGGAGAACACGGGAGAACACGAGAGAACACTGGAGAACACGAGAGAACACTGGAGAACACGAGAGAACACGGGAGAACACGGGAGAACACGAGAGAACACGGGAGAACACGGGAGAACACGGGAGAACACGGGAGAACACGAGAGAACACGGGAGAACACGGGAGAACACGGGAGAACACGAGAGAACACGAGAGAACACGGGAGAACACGGGAGAACACTGGAGAACACGGGAGAACACGGGAGAACACGGGAGAACACGAGAGAACACGAGAGAACACGGGAGAACACGGGAGAACACGGGAGAACACTGGAGAACACGGGAGAACACGGGAGAACACGAGAGAACACGAGAGAACACGGGAGAACACGGGAGAACACGAGAGAACACGGGAGAACACGGGAGAACACGGGAGAACACGGGAGAACACGGGAGAACACGGGAGAACACGGGAGAACACAAGAGAACACGGGAGAACACGAGAGAACACGGGAGAACACTGGAGAACACGGGAGAACACGGGAGAACACGAGAGAACACGAGAGAACACGGGAGAACACGGGAGAACACGAGAGAACACGGGAGAACACGAGAGAACACGGGAGAACACGGGAGAACACGGGAGAACACGAGAGAACACGGGAGAACACGGGAGAACACGAGAGAACACGGGAGAACACGAGAGAACACGGGAGAACACGGGAGAACACGAGAGAACACGGGAGAACACGGGAGAACACGAGAGAACACGGGAGAACACGGGAGAACACGGGAGAACACGAGAGAACACGGGAGAACACGAGAGAACACGGGAGAACACTGGAGAACACGAGAGAACACGGGAGAACACAAGAGAACACTGGAGAACACAAGAGAACACTGGAGAACACTGGAGAACACGGGAGAACACGGGAGAACACGGGAGAACACGGGAGAACACGGGAGAACACGGGAGAACACGGGAGAACACGGGAGAACACGAGAGAACACGAGAGAACACGAGAGAACACGAGAGAACACTGGAGAACACGAGAGAACACGAGAGAACACGAGAGAACACGAGAGAACACGAGAGAACACGAGAGAACACGAGAGAACACGGGAGAACACGAGAGAACACGAGAGAACACGAGAGAACACGAGAGAACACTGGAGAACACGAGAGAACACGAGAGAACACGAGAGAACACGAGAGAACACGAGAGAACACGGGAGAACACGGGAGAACACGAGAGAACACGAGAGAACACGAGAGAACACGAGAGAACACGAGAGAACACGGGAGGACGCGCGAGAACACGGGAGAACACGGGAGAACACGGGAGAACACGGGAGAACACGGGAGAACACGGGAGAACACGGGAGAACACTGGAGAACACTGGAGAACACGGGAGAACACGGGAGAACACGAGAGAACACGAGAGAACACGAGAGAACACGGGAGAACACGAGAGAACACGGGAGAACACGAGAGAACACGGGAGAACACTGGAGAACACGGGAGAACACGAGAGAACACGGGAGAACACGAGAGAACACGGGAGAACACGAGAGAACACGGGAGAACACGGGAGAACACGAGAGAACACGGGAGAACACGAGAGAACACGGGAGAACACGGGAGAACACGAGAGAACACGGGAGAACACGGGAGAACACTGGAGAACACGGGAGAACACGGGAGAACACGGGAGAACACGGGAGAACACGGGAGAACACCGGAGGACGCGCGAGAACACGGCAGAACACCGGAGAACACGAGAGAACACGAGAGAACACGGGAGAACACTGGAGAACACAAGAGAACACTGGAGAACACGGGAGAACACGGGAGGACGCGCGAGAACACGGGAGAGCACGGGAGAACACTGGAGAACACGGCAGAACACCGGAGAACACGAGAGAACACGAGAGAACACGGGAGAACACTGGAGAACACAAGAGAACACTGGAGAACACGGGAGAACACGAGAGAACACGGGAGAGCACGGGAGAACACTGGAGAGCACGGGAGAACACGAGAGAACACGGGAAAACACGGGAGAACACTGGGGGACTGTGCAGGATAAGCCATGAGGATCTGTGTGTCTGATGGCAGATAACAGAAGGCAGCTCGAACACAAGCACAGACACGGGACATCAGATGCTGAGAGGAGACTGACTCTTCGCACAAAGATCCTCTTTGTGTGACGCTCATGAAGAGGGTTTTCACTCTCAAGAAGCTTCTCTATCAGGATCAGTTATCGAGAGCTCTTATACACAGGGTTCGGGTGAGTGTGTCTGATGCAGTGCTGTTCTCATCACAGGTGACGGAGATCACAGGTGTGTGTGTGTGTGTGTGTGTGTGTGTTCGCAGAGATCATGGCTGGGACAGAAGTGTGTGTGTTCTGGATGGCAGTCGTTCTGATGAGCTCACAGGTGATCGCACTGCAGGTGAGAGCTTCGGGTGTTGCTTTACAGTGAATTATATAAACATTTTCTATATCAGTCACTGTCTAACAATAAGGCATAGACAAATCATAGACTAAACTGTGGAGAATTCCATGTAAAATACAGTGAAAAGGGAGAATCTGCAGTGAAGTAGTAAGTGTTACACAAGTGTTCAAACACACATTAACCTTTGTGTTCAGGTGGATATGAACAACGCATCTCTGACAAGCATTCCTGCAGGGAAACCTGCAAACCTCACCGAACTGATCCTGAGCCAGAACTCGGTCGCCATGTCTGACTCGGATATCGAGATCCTACGCGGGTATCCCGGGATTCGGGTGCTAGATCTTTCTTACAACCACATACAGTCCCTGCCTGAAGGAGCTTTCGCCAGCCTCACGCTCCTAGAGACTCTCAAACTGAGGGGAAATGAACTGAAAACCCTCCACAAAGACATCTTTAGAGGACTGATAAAACTGAAGAGTTTGGATTTGGAGGAAAATCCGTGGAACTGCTCCTGTTCGCTCACAAGTCTCATCAAACATCTGAACGAGTCTGGCGTATCCACCGGTGAGAACGAGAGCATCTTCAGATGTGGTGTTTATGCTCTGGCCAACTTCATGTTTGTTTGGTGTATTCATCTGCCAAATGTTTGTTTGCAGGCAGAGAAGTGTTTTGTTACACCCCCCAGAAAACAGCTGTCCTTGATGGGAACCCTTTCTGCTTAAATCAAGTCCCAACAGCGAGGACTAGATCAGCAGCGCCGCTAACCACGGAGCAGAGCCGCAGCAGTCGCGTCTACAGCTCCAGCAAAGGTAAGAACATCAGGAATAATGGGAAAAACATTTTCCTCAAACCAGTATCAAACACACAGCTGATGTGTCGGTGGATTAGGCCATGGAAAGGAACTAACATGTTCAAACACACACACCTATAGACTGAACACGTGATACGAGTGTGCACGCCGTCAGCGTTTTCACAGATTGGCGGTTTTTAAGGTTACGCGGAGATGATAACGTTTTTCAAAAATGTTCAAGGTTTGCACCAGAACCTGTTTCAGGGTTTGCGTTCTCGAGCCACCAGGCACTGTTGTGTGTGAATGAGCCGGAGCGCGTTAAGGGTGTTCTGTTAGAGCGGTGTGTGTTAGCGGCCGCTAAGCTAATCACTAATGATCTTTACAACGGAAGTGAATCAATCAAAACTAACTTTAGCTGGACAATAACTTTATTCTAGAGCTGCTGTAAAGCCTAAACTTCAGAACTGCGAGTGATGGAGAGTGATGTGTAGAGATGCTGTGTGTGTGTGTGTGTCCTCAGGGTTAGAGATGCTGTGTGTAGATGATGATGATGATGTGTGTGTGTGTTTGTGTGTGTGTGTGTGTGTGTGTGTGTCCTCAGGGTTAGAGATGCTGTGTGTAGATGATGATGATGAGTGTGTGTGTGTTTGTGTGTGTGTGTGTGTGTGTCCTCAGGGTTAGAGATGCTGTGTGTAGATGATGATGATGTGTGTGTGTGTGTCCTCAGGGTTAGAGATGCTGTGTGTAGGTGATGATGTGTGTGTGTGTGTGTGTGTGTGTGTCCTCAGGGTTAGAGATGCTGTGTGTAGATGATGATGATGATGTGTGTGTGTGTTTGTGTGTGTGTGTGTGTGTGTGTGTGTGTGTCCTCAGGGTTAGAGATGCTGTGTGTAGATGATGATGATGATGTGTGTGTGTGTTTGTGTGTGTGTGTGTGTCCTCAGGGTTAGAGATGCTGTGTGTAGATGATGATGTGTGTGTGTGTGTGTGTGTAGATGATGATGTGTGTGTGTGTGTGTGTGTGTGTGTGTGTAGATGATGATGATGATGTGTGTGTGTGTGTGTAGATGATGATGATGATGATGATGTGTGTGTGTGTGTGTGTCCTCAGGGTTAGAGATGCTGTGTGTAGGTGATGATGTGTGTGTGTGTGTGTGTGTGTGTCCTCAGGGTTAGAGATGCTGTGTGTAGATGATGATGATGATGTGTGTGTGTGTTTGTGTGTGTGTGTGTGTGTGTGTGTGTGTGTGTGTGTCCTCAGGGTTAGAGATGCTGTGTGTAGATGATGATGTGTGTGTGTGTGTGTGTGTGTGTGTGTAGATGATGATGTGTGTGTGTGTGTGTGTGTGTGTGTGTAGATGATGATGATGATGTGTGTGTGTGTGTGTAGATGATGATGATGATGATGATGTGTGTGTGTGTGTGTGTCCTCAGGGTTAGAGATGCTGTGTGTAGATGATGATGATGTGTGTGTGTGTGTCCTCAGGGTTAGAGATGCTGTGTGTAGGTGATGATGTGTGTGTGTGTGTGTGTGTGTGTGTGTGTGGGTGTAGATGATGATGATGTGTGTGTGTGTGTGTGTAGATGATGATGTGTGTGTGTGTGTGTGTGTCCCCTCAGGCTTCACTGCGAGTGATGGAGGGACGCACACGGGGAGCCACAGCTGGAAGTTTCTGCTGGGTGTCGTGGCTTTGGCTCTCAGCACCTCCATCATCGTCGTCTGCGCTGTCAAGTCTCCGTCCTGGTACAAGCTCCTGTTCAACTACCGGCACCAGAGGCTGTGTGAGGACGCGGAGCCGGGCGTGTTCAGCGGGCGCTTCTCCACCTTCAGCCTGGACACGCAGCAGACGGAGGCCAGCGCGCAGGAGCTGGAGGAGCAGGAGGACGACGGCTTTATAGAGGACGGCTACATCGAGCCAGGGAACTACAGCCGGCACGCGGACGCGGACGCGAGGCGTGAGCCGCAACTCTGCTAGCCACAGCGCTGGACTAATTACGCTGCGAGTCTTTGCATGAGCTGACTGTGAGGATCTTTTTTTCCAATGCAGAAGTGCAATATGAAAATTCCTTAAACTATAAAACAGAATTGCAAATACATGTATCTCAGCATGTTAATACAGTGTGTGTAAACACTGCAAACGTCATGCTCTTCCTCAGAGTTTCTGTCTTGTTTTCCAGCACAAATATCTAAACATTCTTATATCAAGATACATTTACTGGAGAAGCAAAATGACTGAAGATAAAATAAAAATGTATCAAAATTAACTGACTTCATACTAAAGGGGAAAACACGTTTATTTTTGTCTTGCTTTAAGCACCTAATCACTTATTTTGATACATTTCTCAGAAAACTTCTTCGTCACGAAATGATTAATAACATTTTCCTTGACGTTTTGGCAAATAAGAGGTCATCATATTATAAGAATACCCTGAAAGTTTCAGAACTGAAACCGTCCTTGTTAGTCCAAAATCAGCTTTTATTGTCACCAGGCCCGCCTCTTTATGGCGTAATAAGGCAGTGAAAGACATTCTTTATTTGTATTCGGTATATTTCACTGGATTCTTTGGTAAATCAGTCCCAACTCTGCGCACAGGCTTTTACGATATGGACTCGACAGTAGTGCCACATGTAAAGCCTGTTTTATGCTTCTGCGTGGAATCGACGGCGTACCCCCGCAGACCTCTCTGCGTCGCCGCGAACCCCTCTCCGACCCCGCCGCCGTAGCTCGACGTACACCTCCTTAACTACGCGTCGAGGCGACGCAGACCACAAGGGCTGTGATTGGTCAGATACATCATTTCGGGAGTGAAGCTTTTCCGGTTTCCCCCTCCCGCTATACCGCCATTTTTAAAGTGATCACTGCACTATTTGTTTTAACGATATCAAGTTGAGGAACGTTTGATTCTTCTGCGATTAAACATTTGCAATAAAATCATTTGTTGTTCAACGTCGATTAGCTCCAGCTGCAACAACATTCTCTCTCTTTCGCGTTTCCATTACGGATTTGCGCAAAACTTTTGCGATTTTTTTCTATATGTCGATAAAAAACTATTGCGAAATGAGGGCGTTTCCATTAACCGATGTTTTGCGACTAAAACGTTCGTTTTTCCTCTCGCGATAAGCCATTCCAAAAATCATGGTAACGGACGTTGGTAGGTTTAACGTTATAGCCTATAGCCACCGCACTAGACATTATTATTATTAATGGAAGGAGACGTGGTGTGTTATCCAAGCATTGATGGCAGGGAAAGACACAGAGTTCTCCCTCATTTCTGCTCCGAGGTCTTGATTGTGGCATTTCTTTGAGGTTTAGAGTCCAGTAGGCTATTCCTGTAATTGTTTCTTTTATGAATTTAATAAAGAACTCTGTCTCGTATTAATTCCAAACGGTCAGTGTAGCCTACTTTTGTGTCCATTCGTTTTCCCTTATTTAACCCGTAATTGCAAAACGAAAAATGAACGGTTGTTGTAGGCCTATTTTTAAAACGCAAAGTTAAACACCAAAATTTTAATTTGAACTGTACACCAAATGCTGCGCAAAAAAAAAAAAAAAATATCGACGAATTTTAAGATATTTGTTTATGATTTTTTGCTCCTTTATTAAACATTTAAAATATTCACAAATTAATATGGAAAAAATGTAGATTGTACTGGTTTTCTAGGGCCAAATTAGAACCTGGAAATTAAATTTTTCCCGCAGTGCTGAATGAGAAGACCATAACCACAGCCTACAGAAAGGGGATTTATAGGTGAGTTATAGGCTATAATAAATGTGTCTGAAAAAATAACGAGGCATTTTAATTGTTTATAAATAAACTATTGTTTTCTAAATCAATGTCGGCTAAAAACATATCTCCATCTCCGGATGCACCTTTAGTGAGAAATGCACCTTTCATACGGATTACATAATCAGAAGGTATTTGCTTTCGATTCGAGTTTGTTCGTTTTAAAGTGGACATTTCAAGCTTTAGCCTACATAGGCGATATTTTGTTTCAGTTCTCGCGCTTCAGTTCACGGAGACCATGAAAGCGCGCCTGATTGTTTTATTTTATTTTACAAAACCACAACGTTTTCTTGTTATTGTGAGTTTACGCAAATAAAAGTAGTTGCGAATAATGTATTATTATTTTCTGTATGACAGAAATGATAGAGTATTTTAAGTTGTTTCCACTGTTGATAGGGAAATGCAAGTGTTCGCGCCCGCGCGCCATCCAGTGCGCGCTCCGCACAAACACTTGGATATGCATCAAAATCTTGTGTTTATTTGTGATAATCTTAGCCCCGTATTATTATTGTCCAGCCTGTATTTTGAATGAGATGTGACGAATTGCTTTGTTCCTTTTTTGGATAAAAGCGTCTTCTACATATGTAGCCTAATAAATGTTATAATAATGATGATAATTATTATTATTATTATTTGCGGACACGGACCCCAAACACACCGTGTCTTCTACGTCACGTGACTGTAAATGCGCAAAACCTGTTTCCATTGCAGTTTTGCAAAATATTCCTTTTTCGAATTGCCTGAAAATCCTCCTCATGCGAGCGTAAAATCTTTTTTGCGATAAACGGGAGTTTATGCGAAATGGACGTGGTTCCATTGTGCGTATTTTCAATTCGCATTTTCAATTTGCGCAATTTGAAGGGTAATGGAAACGAAAGCGGAACCGGCGCACGGAACCAAAACAAACTAGCAAAGAGATTCGCGAAGCACACACCCCCCTAGCGTTCTGGCGGTGAAATGCACCGCGATGCAACGCAACCTGACGCAGAACCATAAACGGCCACGACGCCGTAGGAGTGACGGCATAGCTACGCCGTGGAGTTGACGCAGAAGTATAATGAGGCCTTAAGTAACCCTGTTCATTCTAATGCCTGATCTGTGACCAGTGATTGTAATGATTCATGTAGCTACAGTCAGATGTTCTTTGTCCTGTCAGTATATGACTAAATGATAAACTTCACATTGTTTCTCTTAGTAGGGTGTAAATAATCTGTTGTTTAAACTGATTGAATTATACATAGAAAGCGATCAAAGAACGCTCCGTTTACAATAGCTGTAGCTGTCAATCAAACAGCACGTGTTCATCAGTGACTGAGTTCTGGACTCGCGCCAAAACTCCCATAATAATCAACGAATCTCTTACATTGTGTTTTCACTGT